AGATGTTATCAAGCATGCGAGAGGCAAAATAGGCAAAATTATATTTGTAAGATGCATGATCTTATACATGAAGCCACGTGCACTATTTCGAATGATCAAAATTTGAGTTCAAATAAACATCTCAAGGTGAGAAAGATCTTTCGATTAGCCAAAAAATACACTCTATTGTACTACAAATGTAGCCTTTGACATTCGCAATAAGATCACCAACTTCATCTACTTGCACGTTTTAATTTTAGAATTTATAAGTAAATTGTCAAATTCAATCGTTAAATTGAAACATTTGAGGTATCTAAACATTTCACGAACTTTAATAGATGTACTCCCAAAATCTATTGTTTTACTTTAATATGTACACCTTAAAGTTTCGAGAGAATACAGCTTCTCACTCACATAGTTCGAGAAAGTTATTCATTAATTCTTGTCCCAAGTTAACGAATATTCCAAACATATTTCCAAGCTAGGAAGGTCCTCCAAAATTTTGATCCCTAGAGATTTATTTATATGGAATTTTGACAAAACTACTAAACTCATTAAAACCTAGCAGCATGTGAAGATTTGTGCATAGCCTACTTTCTTGAGGATCTTTCCCCTTCAAATTTGCAAGGTTTTTTGAGACTTAAATTACAAGTTCATTGGCCAAAGGAAGAATTATGATAGGGAGTCCATTCATAGACTTCCATTCACTTTCAATCGACTTCAAAATCTTATATCGTGAAACAAAAACTAAATGTTTAACACAACTTCTTAAACAACGTGAGCATCTCACTACTTTAAGATTGTTGCCTGGTGAGTCTTTTAATGGACTTGAATCTTTGTTAGAATGTTTAGGAAACATTACATATTTGGAGACATTGGTGATAGTCAAATGCAAAAATTTGAAAAGCTTGTCATCGAAAGAAGCCATGTCAAATTTTACTGGATTGAAAAAATTCACAGTGTTTCAGTGTTCCCAACTTGAACATGGTGAAGGGAGCTTTGAACTGGTGAAAGTTTTCCATGTAGCTCGTATTCATGTATTCTAAAACACTTATTTACGTTTGTTTTTCTTTTTTTTCTTTTTGTATTTTTTTTAATATTTACATTAGTCTAAGTTAAATTATAATTTTATTCCATGTATTTGAACAATTGTATTGACTTTGTTTACTACCGTTTTCACGATTCAGTTTGAAAGCATAATCGATTCAATTAAATTATTATTATTATTTATTTTTTTTTGTAATTTTGGTTTCGATGGTATTTATAAAAAGCTGTATTCTTTGTTTATATCCTCTAATGATTCTCTTGATAACATTTTGATTATTGTACCAAGTAGCGTGGATGTTCATCATTTTATCTTATTAAAGTAACAAAGGCACACATTATTACTGTATTTTGTTTGAAGTTTTCGAGGTTCACGAATTAACATTTTCTAAATAATGCATAAATGAATAATTTAGACCTTACTTCCTTGGAAGAACTACAAAATATTATCATAAGAGAATTTTTGTGGAGTTTTGGTGGGGGTGGAAGGGTTGAGGAAGATAGTGAAAGTAAAGGGTGAGAAAATTGGTCTAGCATGGGGCTTCGAGAAAGAGCTCTCAAAGACGAGTGTATGAAGATAAAGGTGATCCTCACCACACATATGATGACCTTGCCTATATGAAATTGACAACCGATGACCTTGCCATTCTCTCCTTAGTCAAAGTTCTAACCTAATTTTCAAGATGTTCTCTATTGCTGGAGAGAGACTCGAATGGTTTGTGATTTTTTGTTTAGTTGCTGAAAAACAATTGAGAATTGTTTCAATCTCTAATGATTGAAGTATCAAAGAGGGCAAGGTCCTGTAGCACTAGTCGATTTTACCGATAGTGATTTAGCTGGAGACATTGACGATAGAAAAAGCACTGTAGGAATGACGTTTTATCTCAACGAAAATTTATTCTCTTGGCAATCTCAAATGTAGCGAACTGTGGCACTATCATCCTATGTGGCTGAGTTCATGGCAGCAATTGCGGTGTCGTGCCAAGCATTGTGGCTGAGAAATTTGTTGAGTGAAGTGACTATAAGTGAACTAAAGCCGGTAACTCCCTACGTCGAAAAAAAATATGTGATTGCACTATGAAGAATCCAGCATTTCACGGATGCAGCAAACACATTGACACTCGCTTCCATATCATTCGTGAGTGTGTTCAGATGAGAAAATTTTTTGTGGAGTCCGTATGTATTAGAGAACAACGTGCATATTGTTATTTTTGGCCCCTTTATTTGTTTTGACATTTTTCGATCGTGGGCCATTAACAACACTCTATGGATGTGCCATGGTCTCGAACTGCAGTGTCATTGTCAGCCGTACATGTATGTCTTGCCTTTACGTGAAATAGAAGTATTACGTGGCTTGAGTATTTTAAGAAATACTCAGTAAGTGACCCCTATCGCGGTTAAATGCAAACAGATACAATTCAGGAGTGGAACCTATCATAGCAGTCTATTTCTTACCGCAGCTATCATAAGTGGGCAATTGAATGTGTACTTAATTTTCCTACACACGGCCCACATGTGCAAGTATGGATCCACCAGTCAGTTTAATCACCTCCTGGGCTTTTTTAAGTCAAGCGGGCATTCTCTAGTAGGTGTTGATGTCGGACACATATTAGGAACAGCGACTGTCATGGCAGCAGTATAGTAAACATAATGATCGTTGTCCTATCTTGTAGTGTACTCGTCCATACTAACGTGAAAGGAGAGAGGGTATCCACCAATGCATGATCACACAATAATACATGAAATCCCAACATTTTCCCTTTTTTATTATCATATACTACAACTCTGCCAGCATCTTTCTTCATATCATATCATTTATCGTATCTTCCACACATGTATCAGGGTTGTTTTTCATGCCAATGTGTCATTTTACATGTCAATCATATAATATATCATTCATGTTCCACATATGTTATATCATATCGTTTTCATGACTTTAGACGTAACAATTCACATAATACACATATCACATCATATCATATATCATGACAGTCACATAACATATCCTCAGCATGCCTTCATCATATCATATCTCAACCTATCATATCATAAATTCATTGCATACAACATAATATTCACGTATCATATCATATACATATCATTTCATAATAGTTTGCATATATGGGCATATGCTTGTGAAGCCACATGTTATCATTCAACATACAATTATAATCAAACCGATGGTAGGGTCACTTACTTGGTTGTCCTAGACCGAAGCTATTACGACCCTTTGATGCTGGCTTAACGTTGCTCTCTGAAATTTAATTTTGTCTAAGGAGTCCAACATATACATTAGAATTCTACTATGGAAATTAAATTACCTAATTTTTTATAAAATAATTTCAATTTATTCCTAATAATTTAAACTAGCTAATTTTATATAAAATAATTTAAATTTACTCTCAATCATTTAAACGAGCTAAGCCTAATTATGCTGGAATACTTTAAAATTAACTAAAAAATTTAAATTATTTTGCATAAAATAATTTAAACTTACTCTTACTAATTTAAACTACTAAACTTAATTACGCATAAATACTTTAAACGTGACTCCAAAAATTTAAACTAGCTAAAAAGTTGTCGTATTATCATTGATGAATTGAAATGTCGAGAAACCTTCCTTTTATACTAAGGTCAACCCCGATTCCTCGTTTTTAAGCAATGTGAGACATTCCCTCCTTTTTTTTTCTATTTATTTTCTTTTAATTTCAAAATTTTGTGTTATTACATTTTTATAGTATTTTTTTAGTGTAAGTCGACGTGGTGCTTCGAAGTCTCGAAAATCGGACTATGACAAATATATTTTTTAATTGATTCTTTAAAATTTTTGAAATTTTCATTATTTTTATTTTTGAAAATATTTTTTCGAAAATAAGAAAATAAAAAATCTACCAAAAAAAAAATCCAAATATATGGTTTGATTTGATTGTGAAACTTCTTCTTACTATTAAAATCAATTATTTTAATGATTTTTCCAAAGATGGAAATGAGATTGGACTTTTATAATTTTTTGTTTGGTAAGTTTGTTCTAAATTTCTATTTTACCCTAATTAAAAAATAATAGAACTTTCTATTTACTTTAAAAGAAAGTGAATCGGAGTGATGAAATTAATATTTCGTACAAACAAGGATGAAAACTTGTTCGAGAATCAATAAGCATGCCTCATAAAATTTATCAAAACCAGTTAGAAAGATGTTCGTGATTCAACAAATAAGCCGCTTAGAATTCAACTAACAAAGCGAGTGTCACGACCCAAATTTTGAGCCATAAAAGTCCAGATCAAAATTAAAAAAATTCGAAAAAATTGAAATCAAAATAAAAACAACACGAAGGTTGATTACAAAATAAAAATAAATTTATTAGAAACAAAAAAAGTTTAAAGATTTTTTTACTTTTTTATGTGGCTTTTTGTTTTGTTAGGTTATTCATGTTTTACTAATACGAACAGGAGAGTACTTTTTAGCTGACCATTTGTGCCATCTCAATATTTGCGGTCACAATTTGTTTTAGACGAGAAACATAACCACAGTGTTTTTCAGCAAAATCAAATTGGAAGCTATCGTTCTCTCTGTTGTTTTCTTTGGCTTCGGTTTTTTTTTTCTTCCAACAAGTTTTTTCGGCTATTTCTCCTCGTCAAGCAATTTCCTCTCAGAACGATTTGGTCAGTCCAAAGACATCTAAAGTTGAACACCCAAATAAAAATTAAAACGAGGAATAATATATATATTTTTATAATGATTTGTTTTTTAAAATATAAACAAAAACAAATTGGATGGAAAAGAAATTGTCCCATTTTTTTCTAAATTGTTTCAATGGACTCTGTTTTTCCTAATTTTGGTTTGAAACTGCAAAATTGATTTAAAAAGCCTAAAAATATGGCCCCTACTATAAATCTTTGAATGCAGACATAAAAATAAAGTCTTAGAAACGTGGTTTCCTTGCTTTTCAAACATCCATTATTGTGGTTACTGTTTCTTTGGAGGCCACTTTGTTAAACATGTCCTATAAAAGGAGGTTAGATGGGATTTCTGTATGCTTCATTCTAACACACACAAATCCCCCAGAATTGCAAACTTTGAGACGATACAAACATGGCGGAGTTCCTGTGGACCTTTGCCATACAAAAAGTGTTGCCGAGCAGATCGGCCTGACATGGGGATTCAAGGAGGAACTCTCAAAGCTGAAGGACTCTTTACTCATGGTGCAAGCCATCCTAAGGGATGTTGATAGAATGAAGGCAGACCTTGAATCCCAGAAGCTATGGGTGAAGAAGCTTGAAGATATCGTCTTTGAAGCTCATATTTTACTCGATGAGCTCGCTTATGAACACGTTCGATGCAAAGTGGAAATCGAGAAAGATAAGGTGGTACGTAATTTCTTTTCATTCTCCAAAAATTCCCTTGCTTTTCGTCTCAAAATGGCAAATAAAATCACAACTATTTCTAAAACGTTGGATGAGTTTATTTCTACAAAAAGTCCATCCCTATGTGTTGCTACAATATCCAATGAAGCTGAAATTGATATTTACCAAACTCGAAAAACGGACTCATTTTCTGATGAAATTGGAGTTATTGGAAGGGAAACTGAAGTATTAAATATAGTGGATAACCTATTTGCCCTTAAGAATCAAGAAACTCTAGTTGTTTTACCCATTGTTGGTACTGGTGGGTTAGGAAAAACAACTCTGGTGAAGGAGATTTTCCATCATGAAATGATAAGGAAGAATTTCGATACTTTTATATGGGTATGTGTGTTTGATCCTTTTAAAATCAACAAAATTTTAAGAGCAATCGTGGGATACATGAAGCCTACATTTGGTGGCTCAGATTAAAAGGAAATCATTCTTCGAGAGCTCCAAAATCTGCTAAGTAACAAAAAGTATTTTGTTGTGCTTGATGATGTTTGGAATGAGGAACCCATTCTCTGGAATGAGTTGAGGGCTTGTTTGCTAAAGATCAATAAAAATATGGGAAGTGCTATCGTTGTGACTACTAGAAGTGATAAAGTTGCAGAAATTATGGAGACAAAATACCGACATCATTTGAGGCAGTTACTAGATGATCATTGTTGGTCTTTATTTGAAAAATGTGCATTTGAAAGTAAATTACCAGTAATTTCTGATGTCATTCGAGCACAACTTGTTCAAAAATTTGGTGGCATACCATTGATTGTGAAAGTGTTGGGAGGAATGGTGAAATCATGCAAGAATGATGAGGAATTGCAATCTGACTTTGGAAAATCCAGTGAGAATTGAATTAGCAAAGGAAGATCTTATTTTATACACAATCAAATTAAGTGTGGACCGCCTACCATCTTCCTCGTTGAAACAATGTTTTGCCTTCTATTTAAATTTTCCACAAGACTCCATGTTCCTCAAAGAAGAACTTGTTCAAATGTGGGTAGCACAAGGATTTATTCAACTACCCAATGGAAGCAATGTAACAATGGAGGATATTGGAGCGAGATATTTTGATATTTTGTTGTCTCGCTCCTTGTTTCAAGATGTTTTCAAGGATGAGAGAGGGAAAGTTGAATATTGTAAGATGCATGATCATATATATGAGGTTGCATGTGCTATTTCAAATGATCAACATTTGAGAGAGGACCTTATAACCGATGGAAAATCTCATGGTGATGAAATTCTTTTGATTCGTCAAAGAAGAACATTTTATTGTTGTGAAAATGTACCCTTTGGTAATCAAGATAAGATCACTGACTTCATCTACTTGCGCATTTTAATTATTGATTATGAGTCCATAACTGAATTGCCTGACACAATCAGTAAATTGAAGCATTTGAGGTGTCTTGACATTTTAAAGTCTTGAATAAGTGAGCTCCCAAAATCTATTGCTTTGCTTTACCATTTGCAGACTTTGAAGCTTGGAAGGAGNGACATTGGAGTTGTCGGAGTGCAGAAATTTGAAAAACTTGCCCTCGAAAGAAGCTATGTCAAATCTAACTAGATTGAATCGTTTGGATGTGTATAAATGTTCCCAGCTTGAAGTTGGTGAAGGTAGTGTTGAACGGGAAAAAGTTTCGCATGTACCCAACGTTCGTGTATTCTAGAATAACTATTTTATATTTGTTTCCTTTCTTTATACTTCCTTTTTCTAATGTTTTCATTAGCCTAAGTAAAATTATAAAGGTATTCTTTGTACCTTAACAATTGTATTAATTCTATTACTACATTAATTACTATGCTTTCTTGGTTGATTACGTTGAAAACCAAATCAAAACTAAACTGAAAAATAAAAATAAAACTAAATCAAGCTAAGCTTGTTTATATCTTTAAATTGTTAAGAAGTGACGGGATAATATGTTACGAACATGAAGAACGAAGATTCAAACTTGCAATCTATGAATGGAGATCTTGCCGCTCTAGTTATGTTAACAAATTTTTATTAATTTATCGATTGGTTTATTGATTTTTTTTTAAAAGTATTCAGCAATTTAGAATATATTATGAAGATTTAAATATGTAGGTTTTAAAAAATTAGTAATGTTGTAATTAGTTTCGTCTAGCTTTGAGTACATGGATAACTTTTTTAAAAAAATTGAATTGCAATCAATTTCAACCTCTTATTTTTCAACCATCTTGCACTATTTTTTTTTTTCCAACCAATGTATATGGTAATTGAAATTGAACTGAGGAAAGGAGTAAATGTGTAAATATACCCAATAAGAAATACTTGTGGCCCATGATAGTCCTCCTTATTGGGGGCACGACCCAACCCTTTTCCATGTAGTTAATAGGTTGTACGGCGTGGGGACACTTTTTCCATGGGAAACGACTAAGGAGTAGTGAGAACTGATCAGGAACCCCTGGTCCACCCACGAAGCTATAGATACCGTTCACACAACTAGCAGCCTAAGAACACTCCTAAGGTACTTCATTTGCCGTGGTGATCTGTTAGGCCCGAAACGTTATATCTAGACTCAGTGTCACTTCTAACCACAAATCGCTAGGCTTAACTTATTAATGGGTCTTCAAAAATAACTGAGTTTGCATACAACCATCAACTAGCATCATCACACATATTTCCTACAAATTAAATATATATGCTTAATGGGGCGATAACATCCATCAAGCACCCGAAGTGCGGAGTTCACAAATTCACATCTTCCTTTCAACATGAATTAAACATATGCATATATATATATATATATATCGCGGAAGCTTAAAGCATAATTGCAACACTCAGATAATTCTCAATATGCTTTACACAATACATTCATACTCATAATAATTAGACTACCTAAATTCATTCCTGGAAAGCTACCACCTAAGGTAAATTCCCTAGCATGCATTTATACCAAGCGATTCCTATAAGTATTGCTTCCTAAAACCATGCGGTGACTTACATGATTGACGCATGCTCTTTCGTTTAAAGTTCCCGTGTAAATAAGGTGTCTAAAAATACTAATTTTTCTCTATAAGATCTTAAATCACATAAAAAATTTAATTAGAATTTAAATAGGGCAAACAAAAGTCGAACCTATGAATAATAGTACCTCACGGGCTCCCACATGGCACCCTGCTTAATGCCACCAAAATGTTCAATTTGCATGTACTCTAGATGTCATATGTATGGAAATTCTAATTACTTTTTATTTTCATTTGGTTGGAATTTTTTTACTAAACATGAGCAAAATTCTAACTAGTTTAAGTTTTCACGAATAAAAATTAAATTTAGTATTTTTACAATCAATCTATTTATAATCCGACCTTCAATTTTAGTCGGCTTGTAATATGAATAGGTTTTTCAGATTATCGACATGAAGGAGTTGAATCAATAACTTCAGTTAAGAGCGACATAAAATTTTGCAATGAACATTTTAAATCCATATTCTAAGTCTCTCAACCAGATGCCTTGGACAAAAAAAAATTGTCCCAACTTTTCTAAATTGGTTCAAATGGGCTCTATTTTTCCTAATTTTGTTTCTAAAAAGAAAAATTGATCTAAACAACACCTTTCAATGGTTAAAAGTAAATTAGGTTGGAGGGCACATTTGATCATGTCTAGGAGTGATTAAGTATCAATATCTAAACAACACCAATATCTTATTAATTGTTGCATTAAGTATCAATCAAAATGTTGGAAGTACTGGGAGTGATAAAGTAGCAGAAATTATGAAGACAAATTATAGATATCATTTGAGGTACTTACCACGTGATCATTGTTAGTATTTATTTGAAAAATGTGCATTTGGAAGTGAATTACCAATAATTCCTGATGTAATTCGAGAAGAACGTGTTAAAAAATTTGGTGGCATACCCTTGGCTGTAAAAATGTCAGGAGGAATGGTATAATTATGCAAGAATTACGAGGGTTGCTCTCTCTCCTATAAGAAAGAACTTATCTAGGCGTGGGTAGCATTGTAATGACCAAAATTTTCTATTTAATTTATATCATAAACCTTTAAAGGTGGAAATACTTCATTTAAACTTTCATAAAATATAATCATGAACTTAACCTGGTTTGAAAACACTTTTGAAAACGACATAAGAAAAGATTAAATAAAATAAACAAATGTTTAAATTAAAAACATCCTATTCTAGCCTAAGTCTAAGAAAATAATACAACTACTCTATGCATGTGTCATAGTCTCGAGTTGTGATACCGTCGTCAACCGTATAGGAATGTCTTGCCTTAACCTGAAATAGAGGTAGCGCATGGTTTAAGTATTTTAAGAAATACTCAGTGAGTGACCCACTATCGGGGGATAAATGCAAGAACATGCAAATGCAATGACGGAACCTATCCTATTAGTCTCTTTTCCTGCGGCACTATCCTAATGAGCAGCTTGGATGTGTACCATATACTCTACACACAGCCCATACGTGCGAGTATGGGCTTACCAAACAGTTCCCACACCGTTGGGCCCCTTTTCTTCTCAGGCGAGCTAGCTCCCTATGCCGAACACCCATTATAAATTTGAAAATTTTAATGAATTTGAAAATTTTGAAATTTGGCTTCCAAAGAAGCCATTTCAAATTTTGAAATTTGGTTTCATAATTTATGAATGTCCCC